CCGTGTGTTGGAGCCGTGAGGCCCTGGAGCCCCCCAGCCATGGCTGCTGCCAGGAGGAGGATGAGGGCGAGCTTTGCTCTACAAGACCAGCCCCAAGACCAGTCAGGACATGGATTAAGGCTGCAGGCCCTAGGTGTGGCTCCTGCTTGGCTCGGACTCCCAGAGCCGCACCTGAGATTTTGGGGTGCTGAGTTTGCCCCCCCATCCCCTCCTTCCCCCCATTTCTTCTCCTCCTCCTGCTCACCACAGGCACCACCCCAACAGACTCGGAGTTGTGGACCATACAGGGACTTTATTCACAACATCTGGAAAAATTTTTTAAATAAAAGCAAATTTCTCAAGGGGGGAGCTGGAGGTGGGTTATCCTGGAGTGGGTGATGCTGCGGTGCCGCTGGAGCAGCAGCTCCTGCCGGGTGCAGGGGCCTCAGCACGAGGCGTTGGTGGTGGTGGAGTTGAGGATGCGGGAGGTGCTTTCAGAGCTGGAAGCCTTTGAAAGTTCGCGCTGTGGGAACAAGAAGGGGGAGAGGGGGATGAAGGGAGGGAGGGAGGGGCAGCAAGGTCAGGGTCACTGCTTTGAAGGTCAGTAGGGACGCAGGGAGAGGTCGGGATGGGCAGGGAGGGCAGCCCACCCTGCTAAGGGGAGATAGAATACTAATAACAGAACTATGTAACTTGTAACCAATGAACGTTAATGCCTTTGTTTGCTAAAATGTATAAATAGCAAAAAGTTTTGATAGTTGGGTGCTTGATTTGTGGGAATCCCCACCTTGCACCCTGCTCAGAATAAACAATGTCTCCTTTCTAAACCTCTTTGTCCATGTTTAGAGACCTCCTAAAATCTGCAGCATCAGTAGGAGAAGGGGACAGGAACAGTTGTGTTCAGCTGCTGGAGGAAGGGAACTCCTGGGAGGAATCTGCTTCCATCACAAATCAGCCCCAGCCCTACCCAAGGCTGGGTGCCAGCCTGGGAGCACAGCCTGGAGCAGGGAACCCTTCAGCTCAGTCCCAGGGCACATAGGGTGCCCCAACACCAGGTCAGTTGCCACAGGGAAGAGATTGGGGCAGTCCACTGTCACACAAAGGTAAAGCTCAGGCTCAGCCCATCCTGACAAAAGGACAGAGGCTGCCCAGGGCCCCCCAGCCCTAGAGAGCAAAGCCCCATCCACTGGCAGCCGCCCACAGGCTCTGCTCACCCCACCACCCCCAGAGACTGGTGGAGAAGGTGGGACTGAAGCAGGGTCCCCCTTACAGGCTCAACAAGCAGAGCTGGGCCTTGGGCTCTGTCCCCCCACAGGGGTGTCGTTGAGCCCAGCCTGGCCCCTGTGCTGGTGTCTGTCCCCACTGGCTGCTCAGGGGCTGTGTGAGGCAGGAGCAGTGTGAGACCTCCACCACCAAACCACAGTTTGAAGTTCTCCATGTGGAGCCACAGGCACGGGCAGGAGCAGCCACCCTGCGTGGGGACATGGGGAGGACACAGCCCTGGGGGTGCTCGGGGAAGGGGAAACGTCTGTCCTGTGGCGCCTGGGGAGGGGGTGGGGTTAGAAGAGGTGAATTACCACAAACTCAGAATAGGTGCTGGCAACAGAACTAACGCTGTGGTTACGCTGGGCAGGGGCTGTGGGGGTGCACCCACCGCTCAGGGTGGTTCCATCCAGCTGGGACATGTTCTCCTTGTTCCACTGCCTCAGCCTGGGTCGGGGGGGCTTCGCTGCCGTGCGGCTGGGGGTCCGGGCACGGCCAAACTGCAGGAGGAGGCAACAATTACGGGATGCAGGAATCGAGCAGAGGCAGCAGAGCTGTGGCAGCTTCAGTGCCTGTCCCTCTGTGAGGCCAGAGTGGTGTCAGGCTCTGGGTGCCCTCCGAAGTCTGGGGCTGGATTCTAGTCTCAGAAACATATAGCATAGAGTCACAGAATCCTGGAAATGGTTTGGGTGGGAAAGGACCTTAAAAAGCCCATCTTGTTCCATCCCAGTGGCAGGGGTGCCACCCACTAGACTAGAGTGCTCAGGCCCTGTCCAGCAGCACAACCATATTTGGAAGGTCCCCCAAGCTGCAGGCTCAGCAGCAAGGAACAGGAGTACACTAGAAATCTGGGCTGGAGAAAGATTTCCTGCCACCCTCCTCCTCCCTCAGGTCCCAGAAACTCCCCACCAGGACGGCAGCAGCCTCATGGAGCAGGCTGCAGACAAACAGGAGTTTCAGCCCCCCGGGAACTTGGCAGGGGAAGCAGAGAAGCACAGGGTGACAGCAGGCAGAGCTGTGCCGCCCTGGTTTGCCCATCCCAGCCCTGGGCAGGGAGTCCCCCAAGGCCCCTCACCTTCTTCCCAGAGGGCGGCAGCCGAGACGTGGGCGAGTGGGAGATGGTTCCCCCAAAGGCTGAGCGAACTGTGCTGTTGGGAGTAGTGCTGGTGATGGAGGTGCCGTGGAACTGAGGAGAAAGCAGAGCACACATTACACGAGGGACACCTCCCTGCAGAGCCAGAGCACCCTGACCCCTCCCGCAGGGCCGAGGCCAGCCCAAGGCCAGGTTCCAGCTCGGGGAGAGCTCAGCTCCAGGCAGGGCCCCGGCCCAGCTGCACTGCTCCACAGGGACATTTTACCTTCCTTACTTTGGCAGGTGTGTGGGGGCTGAGGACACGCCGCTTGATGGGGGTCCGTGGGGTGCTGCCATACAGCATCTCCGTTTCTATCTGCCGGCTCTTCTTCAGGTGCTGCGGGAGACACGTGCACTTACACACCTGAACACCGTGGAGTTGGTGCACCTCTGTGCCACTGCCAGTGGGCACTGCCCTGCCAACAGCTTGGCAAGGCCATGCAGCAGGAATTTCACCAAAGATTTACAGGTATCCAGAGCCAAGTGGCACCTCTGGCACAGTTGGGGCCAAGAAAGGGGCTCAGCACACACAGACACAACTGCAACGGGCACCTGTCCCACTACCTGCTGCTTCCAGGCTGGGATTGAGCAGGCAGAGCCCAGGGCAGCAGCTGGGGGGCACTGGGGCCCAGCACAGACACTCCCAGGCTGGCATTCCCAGGAAGGAGCCAGCACGCTCAGCTCCACACTCACCCGCTCCTGCTTCTCCTTCTCCTTCTCTAGGCGGTACAGCTGCCACTGCTCTGACACGTATTCCATGAACTGCTGCCCCTTAACCAGGAAAGGCTCCTTGAACTCCTGCTCCCAGGCTTGGACCTTTCTCTCCAGCTCCTCCTGCAGCTGATCAGGACATGAGGTCAGTGTAGGGATTGACCAAACGTGGGTGTCCCCATGCTCAGGGATCCCTTCTCCCTGATCAGTGGGACCACAGCTCCCTCCCCAGGGCTAGACCTACCCTGGACAGCGTCTTCTGCAGCTTTGCTCGCTGCTTCTCCTCCTTTAGCAGGTTCCCCCCACGGTTGGTGAAGCGGCTGGGGTCAGTTGTTTTTCTCTAGTAGAGAAGGGGGATCAGAAGAGACTTAAAGACACCACCCAGCTCCCCCCACCCCCCAGGGAGCCAGCCTTGCATAAACACCCCAGTGCTCAAGACAGCACCTCATCCCTGCACTGGCCCACTGTGCCTCCCCAGTGCCTCCCTGCTCCTTCCCAGAGCACTCAGCCCCCGGGAGCAGACGTGTGTGCTGCCCCACGACCCAGCGTGCTCCTGCCCAGACAATACCTCCAGCTCCAGGAACAGCTTCCAGTTCTCCTCCCATTTCTGAACCGCCTCAAACAGATCTTTGTGTGTTTCATAGTAGCTCTTTATCTTGCCCACCTCGTGATCATGCAGCTCGAGCAGGGTCTCTGTGTAATCCTCTGGAAGGGCACAATAGCCTGGTCAGAGGGCAGCTGGGACCCCTGGACTCCTCCCCACAGCTGCCTGGCCAGCTGGCACCCACCATCATAGAAGGGGCCGAAGCCTTCCCTCTGCTCCTGGCTGTAGAAACATTTGTCCCAGTAGTCAGCCAGCTCTGCCCGGATTGCCTGGATCACGGATTTCATGTTCTGCAGCTTCAGCTCCTCCAGGTGGTCCACTTCCAACTGCAACTGCTCCCAAGATCAGAGCACAGGTCAGGGAGAAAGAGGAGGGGCAGAACAGGATTCATCTTCTGCACAAGCCACTTTCTAGGATGAGGCAGCTGCCAGCACCAACCCCCAGCTTCTCCCCCCACGAGGGCAGGATTTGGCCCACTCCCTTCACCACTGACTGAGCAAACAGGAGCATCAGAGCCCCAGGAGCTACTACCCCCAGCCCTCCTGCCTTGGGCATAGCAGGGTCCTTACAGCTCTCCTGGTTTTGGCTCTGGACCCATCCACGTGCACGGCCGAGGTCTCTCTCTCCTCCTGTGGGATCTGCAGCCTTTCCCAGAGCGCAACAATCCTGGAGCGCAGCTCCGCACACACGGCCTCGTTCAGAGCCCGCCGGGCTTCCAGCTGCAGGCAGGGAGAGCAAGGGGTCAGTGCAGCCCTTGGCTCTGCTACACCTGCAAAGCCATGCACTCGGCACCCAAGATCTCCTCAAGCCCCCCAAAAGGATGTTCTGACATACAGCCTTGCCCAAAAGCCAGCCGTCACTCTTGCATTGTGATGGCAGCTGCTGTCAGGACCCACAGCAGCCCCAAATGCTGCCTCAGTGCACGGCGTACCTGCTGCAGCAGGTTCTGGAGGGCCACGATGTTGTCCTTGGACAGGCAGAACTCCTCCTCGTTCTCGCACACCACGTCCCGCTCGAAGCTGGTGTCCGGGGTGTGGTCCAGCTCCTCCATGAGCAGGATGATCTGACGCTTGTTGCTGACAAACTCTTCCCGCCTTTGCTCCTGGGGGTGAGGGGCAGTGTCAGGAACCAGTGGGCCCCTCATGGGTCCTTCACCAACCCCCTCAGTCTCTCCGCTCACCTTCAGGGTGTTGAGGGAGGCCACGTGGCGCCGGTAGCAGTCCAGGTCCTCCAGGCTGGGCACGGCACTGCTGTCAATGCTGAACAGGGCTGTGCACAGGATATCACACAGGTCCCGGTCCTGTTCCTGCAGGGCCTTCAGCTCCTGCTTCCGGTCCTGCTTCTGCCTCTGCAGCTCCTCCACACGCATGCGCAGATTCTTCTCCATCTGCAGGATGGTACTTTCCTCCTCTGTCTGCAAGAGGCCAGAAATCAGCTCTGCTCTACACCTCTCCACACCTAGCTCATGTTTTAGGATTTTAAATGAAGTCCAGGGACACAAGCCCTGGGTCTGGGCAAGATGTTCCCCAGGAAGCTGCAAACAGAGCAGCAATACACAAAATGAGGTGACGGAGGACACCTCACAACTGCTTCTCAACAGCTGGCCTGTAAGGAGCCACAAAGCCCTCGGCTCTACCAAGCACCCAGTTTGGAACAGGCGTTTGCTTTGTGAGCTCTGGCCTCTTGATACACCTAGGCAGGGCAGCAGCAGGATCCCAGCAGCGAAAAGCAACACCTCACCTCAAAGGGGCCCAGCTGGAGCTCACTGCACAAGGTGTCCAGCTCCTTCCGGCACACGGCGATGCTCTTCAGGAGACGTTCCTTCAGGCTCTGCTCCTCTGCCACCATCATGTCCAGGAGACTCTGTGGCACAGGCATGGTTCAAAGCAGGGTGTGAGGATGGAGAGCAGGCAGGGAACATGCAGGGAGAGCAGGCAGAGCAGCAGGACCGCCACTGGAGACCCCTGCTGGGGCTGAGTGAGAGTGGGCAGTGTGGGGGCCCCAGTGGGACAGGGCCAGGGCAGAGGTGCAGTGACAGCCCTGGATGCTCCCACCCGGGCAGGGACCCCCATCGGTCCAGTCCTGGGGGCCTGACAGAGCTCATGCCAAGCTGCCCGGGTCCCGGGCTGGGGGCTCGACAGCGAGTCCGGTGAGCCCCCAACCCGGGGACACGCCCCCGCTCCTCACCTTGATGTGCTGCTTGACGACGTCGGTGCGCTCCAGGCGCTGCTCCTCGGGAATGCC